CYYKSCAATGCTGGTGCAGTGCTCTACCAACTGAGATATGAAAACAACTAAGTTGCCGGTGCAATTCTCTACGAACTAAGTGGCTTCCYAGYTCAGTTGRTAGAGCACTTCACTGGCATCGCMGAGGTAATGGGTTCGATTCTATAATCGTTAGGTTATAATTTCACTGAGACGATCTCATTTCCTTACACATTTATTCRYCRCAGTTCAAACCATCATTTGCTCTGTTTAACGTACGTCAMACTGCTGCACCGTTGAAATTTTGGTTTTGAAATTTCTTTTAGATGGAAATGGCGATACTCACCTACAGTGCTGAGGGTGATGAAGCAATAGTAAAATGATTCAAACAAACTCCACCCCTCCCCTACTGAGAAGAACAAAGCACCAAGACACAGGTATCCCAGACAGATCAATGAGAAGTGTTTCAAGCCAAGCTTCAGCTCGGGAATTCCGTCGAGTTGAGGGGATATGTCGTCGTTTTTCTTTTGCTGGGTTATTTTGGCTTCTCGCTTCCTTATATGGTACTCTGCATGACACGTGTGTATTACACTAAAGAAAACAGAATAAAATAATGATTGAATGACATCATAATTTACTGTTCATTGCTGCAATCTGATTGCAATAATCAAGTGGATTAATTAATTTATTCTAATAGCAGAAATAATTGCATTTTCCCATGACTGGACTATAACCCATAAAACCATTTTTGACTGGAGATTGTCTGGGATAACGAGCACAAATATTCCACTTTGTGCATATCATTAGCCCCCTTTTATCATCAGCCCCCTTTTATCATTAGCCCCCTTTTATCATCAGCCCCTTTTATCATTAGCCCCCTGGTTCAGGCTAGGCTACACTTCAAGATTGCGCAGGGAACTGTGAAGGAGGGCGGCTATCAATTCTCTTGTGATGGAACTAATCGAAACTCGAAAGCTTTCAAAATCTCATGCCTGAGGATACCAAACRGGTGGTTCACAGCATTAGCTAATTCGAGAWGACTTGGTGTATAAATAGTTCATACTCTGTTATAAACGATGATAGACCTCCAGCAACAACGGAGAAGAGTGGAATTCCTATTGCAGCGAAAACCATGCAAAATATCCGTCCTTTCAGTGAGAGTGGTGMGATGTTTCCGTATCCTGTCAAAAGAAAGATATTGATAATCACAATGTTGTTAGTACTCGTCGCGTAGAAAATATCCTGGCGACTGTTGTGAAAATTGTACAAGCAAATAGCCAGGAATCAGCCAATCCCCACTGTTCAGACTCTTCTGGCTGCCAATTATCATTTTTTGCTTTGATAAACCGCTCAAGCTTTTCTACAGCTGTGTTCTGCCAGTTCTCCTCGCTATTTGTGTCGCTGTTCGCTTTCTTGTCGTCCAGGATCTCTTGTAACAGCTCTCGCGTACTTGGCAAAGCCGTAACATCGTATTTTTCAAGACCAACCGATGCTGCTTCAACTTTTTTGAACACGACAGCYCCAAATGTTCCAAACGCGATTAATATTCCCACAAGAATTGTAACGTACAGTGTTTTTGCCTTCAAATCCTTGAATTTGCGCATTTTTTCCTGACATTCCTGGTTGTCGTTTGTTGAATTTTCGCACTGCTCTTCTGAATTAGACATTTTACCGCGGTTTGTAAACAAGTCAATATGAAAATGAGAACGCGCTAGGAAAGCTTTGTTTGATGTGTATTCCGTATGTAAATCGATACTCTTGGTTTTTCATAAATTATAAATAACAAAGAAACAGGTTTACATCAAAATAAACAGCTCCGTTGGATCGGTGGTTTTATGTGGTAATTCTTTATTCGACAGTGTGATGTCGATCTGTGTGAGTGATGTCGACCGGTCAATAAAGTTCTGTTTAATGTAGTTGCTGTTCGTTTTTCTTGACGGTGTAATGTAAATGACTATTTGTTCGGTAGAGATCTGAAGGAAACAATAGAGTGTGATATCATATATATCCTAGTCATTGTGTAGCGTCCAAAGCTGACATCCTATCAAAAGCGGTGTATCTGTAAATGAAGAATACCAGGTTGGGACGTCAACCTGTAGCCTTCGCCTTTTTTCCCACTCTTGCGATATTGAAAAAGAACGCCCGAACTTTAAAATTGCTGTAAAATATGTGTTGAAACCTCAAAAAAGTCCGAGTCTACTAGGTCTGGAAGACTAATCAAATACTGAACACTAAATTCTACCTTCCCTGGAAAAACAGACTTGGTGCAGCCGTAATGATTTCTTTTGTGTCCATCAAACTTTAATTTCACGGCTTTAATGACTTCACTTTAAAACGTGAAGAAGTAGGAAGCAAATAGTCGCTAAATAGCGCAATAGAGTACAATCACTAAAACTGTGCAACATAAATACCACTAAATACTGCTATTATGCTAATTCTATTGTTTAATTAAATATAATAATAATAATAATATAATAGAGTACTCGCACTTAAAGCGTGAAACAAATAGTACTAATTACTACTAAATAGTGTTGATTATACAATAGGAAACAAAGGATTTGTATAATTTATCACCTATTTTGTAGTATTTATATTTCACGCATTTAATGCGAGCACTCTATATGTGGTCTTATATAGCGCATTATCACACTGTTTCAATGCGCTTTCACAACGAAGTAATGGTCGGACCGCTATTTAGGGCGCACAGCAGCCACGCGGCTTACAATCATGAGTGTGAGTTAGTTCAAGTAAGTAAGTCACTGAGGGTGGTCACTGCCAAAGATTTGTTTACGTCCTCAGTGGTTCTTTTACGTCCACCTTATAACAGGGTTAGAGTGAAAGCAGACCGCGGGACCTCCGGCTTTACGTCCTTATCCGAGAAGACGAGGCAGTGAAAGGGTAAAGTAAATTGCCTCCTTCTAAGCACTATAACTTTCTTTCATTTCTATAAAGGGTAAAGTATCTTGCCCAAGGACACAACGTGATCGTCCGGTCTGGGAATCTAACCCGGCCCTTTCAGACCTGAGTCCGGTCCCCTAACCACTAGACCATCACGTCTATCACTATTTTGTAGTAAATAGTGGAAAGTGCTGCACCATTTAATGGTTGTACTCTATAGTGCATCTAAAACAAAGGAATTCATTCAGTACAATAATAGTACCATTTAATTACAAACGTTTTTCATGGTTTTAAGTGCTTGCACTCATTTTAACTCATTTTAACCAGTGCTTGAGCACTAGTTACTGAATTGCACGAAACAGGATTATAAAATTTTTGATATATAACGCGCGCTCTGATTGGCTGACGACCGTGTTTATATCAGAGAACAGAGACACAGCTTACCGGCAAAATTTTCTTTTCGCTCGAAAAATTTTATAAAAGAAATATAAAAACGGCCGCTTGTGTCTCTGTCCTCTGATATAAACACGGTG